ATGGCCTGCATTTCCGCCTTGTGCATTAGGACCATATTGTCAGAAATGGTATCGATAACTATCGACCTCAAGCCGGTGTCCTCGGGAAGGGTCGAAGAAAAGACATGATCGATGGCGAGGGCGAAAGATTCCACGTTCCAAAACCCATTGCGAGCGCCCTTAAAGGACTTTATTGCCAGCTCTTTGAGGCCGATGACATCGTACTTGTCAGCGATCGCATACATCTTCGAGTGCTTGAGAAGCTGGCGTGGTCCTCCAATACGCCCAACTAAGCAGCATTCGTCGCAGATGAAGGCCTTGCAAGCCAAATCGCAATTATCGGGGCCACAGTAATGATGGGGACACAATGTCCATTTGTCACATTTCTCTGTGCAAGTATGTGGGAAATCATACGTATATGGGTCTCCCATGCCATCCCAGCCCTCAGACCGGTGAATTTCGATGTTGGAGGGCGTGATCGGGCTCGTTTGCTCATTCCTCGGGGTTGTAGAGGAGTCGTCTTGGTACTCACCCGTGTAAAGGTATTCGATGAGAGAGGCGATTACGTTCGGTTCGTCCTCTGGGAGATCAATGACATCTGTCTGCGCTTCCTGCTTGTCGTCAGACCCAGTTCTTTCCAGACCTCGGGAATCAACCTTGCATACCTTGCCACCAAACTTAAGAGCTCCAGCGAAGAAGGCTACTTGCTTGCACACGACGATCTTGTGAACTCTGTGGATGTCGGCTCCGCATTTGATGGTGAGGTCTGTGTATTCGCCGGAAGTGAAACAGCTGTGGTAGTGGTCAGCTTTAGAATTTACACACGAGCTTGAGGAACTTGCCTTTGGACCGCATCCACAATCTGAATGCGCGGATTCTCTGCCATTTTCGCGTATCGCGGCGCTGGGCGCTGTGGTTCGAGATGTGTTGAGTGCACAAGCAAGACGCTCGATTTGCAGGTGGTGAGCTACTGGAGCGGACTCACTCTTTGGGTCTCGCTTAGGTAGATCATTCCGACGTGAAGGTGAAAGTGAAGGTGAGGCGCGAGCGCAGACCACAACACATCGGTATCCTCCTGGGTCTCCAACAACGAAGCGCAGTCATACATTCCAGCCACGTAGTTTGCAAAGACAAGTTTCGATATGCTAGACAGCGGTGATGGCTACGACCAATATAATCAAAAAATGTGCTGCGCTTGCCGCATACAAGACTGAGAACATCGCAATCATGTGAGACTGGTACCTATATATTCTGCAGCGCGTCCCTCAGATGGTGTCAGTTTCTAGATACAGTGTTCGTGATCCAGACGTGAGAGCCGGTAACGTACATCTCGATGCTGTCTAGTAGTTACGTTGCTTGACTTTGGAAAGGGTAAGACCCATTGTGAGCGAACTTAGCGATATAATATCACGTGTTCAGATTGGCAGCTGCTGTGTAAGCAGTATGCGGAGAAGAAAGCCGGGCTAAGAATGCAGGGCAAGATGGGGTGCGCAGGGGCTGTGCTGATCAAGGGAAGGCGCCGAAGGCAGGCACTGAAGTAGCGTTTTCCGCGAACTTCGGGTAGACATGTAGGGTTAGCGCAAAATTGTAAATGCTGCAAAAGCGATTGGATATCGGAAAGTGCTCGACTACTTCACGGCACCACAAGTTTGTGCACCCCGGTAACCAGCCGAAGTTTACCCGGCTACCTCAAGACTTTGGTTAGGCCCTGCGTGATACAGACCAGAAACGCTTTGTATGGCTGGAGCAATCACTGAGCCATGTTTGGAGAGCATGGTGGAGTCGGAACTTCGACCACATCTGAACCACGGTACTGAAATCCCATTAAATCTACGCATTTGCCCATTAGTATATAACGCCCTGCTTCTGCACTCCCTCTTAGCTTTCTTACCACCACAAAAACATCTTACATCCAAAGCCAAAACATCTCAAGGATACCACAAACCATCCACTACTACCAACTCAAAACCAAACAACATACCAACCAAAAACCTCCCCACCACAACCAACGAGATGCATTTCAACACCATCATCATCTCCCTCCTCATCACCCTGGGGCTCAGCCTCCCCATGTTCCCCAGCCCCCGCCCATACATCCCAAGCGGCATGGGGACCCTGCCCCTCATCACCACCAGCGACTTCGTTGTCGCGCGGGCAAACGACAACGATGCCGATGACGAAGTTGTCATCCCCGAGAAATGGAGGCACACTCACGGCAAACTGTTTGAAGAGACAAAGGCAGAGAAGGTGGTGGTTCAGAAGAGGGATTTGGGGGACTGCAAGGAGGGTATGTGGGGTTGTTAGGGGTTGAGGCTATTGGAAGCCGGGGATGTCAGGGATGTGGGAAGTATACTGAAAGTATACTGCAAAATCGTAATCAGCCTGGAGCCCACGTTGACGTTGTATCACCTACTTTGCATGGTTTTATGTTGATGTATGCTGCAGACCTATTTTGACATTTCGTTATTCAGTGTGATCTGGTAGCGAGATTTCAATACCACACATAACACACACGCATCCCTTACACTATGTGTCCTCATGCCTTCGCCTTCTCCGCATTCAACTTGTCGTTGATAGGCTGGAGCATGTTGGTCATGAACTGTTCATCCAGGTCTTGTCCCGAGCCCACACCTTTCGGCGGCTCCACACCCCATTCCGGGATAAGCCTTGTCCCGCCAAGAGTAATTTCCAGTACACTGCCACATGGGTACTCTTTCTTCTGTAGCAGATCCAACAAAGAAGTCGCGCATGCGTCTGGCGTCAATGCCTTCTCCGTGGTCACAGAGTATTGCTTGAGTTTCGCGGCGTCGAATAACGGTGTCGCCACAGCACCAGGACAGAGAGTGGTAATCTTGACGCCTGTGAGTGACTCAGATGGCCCAAGAGACTTTACGAAGCCCACTACAGCGTGTTTCGTTGCGCAGTAGAGTGGAGCTGCTAGGTTGCCTGATATGCCGGCTACTGACGCCTATTCTGGTGTTAGACTTGCCATCGACTACGTGATGGCCCTTCGAGTCGACCCTGATATGTGGTATGACTTACGATGATACAAACACTAGCCCTTTTGCCCTTCCCCAGACTCTTCCTGATAGCCAATCTCGTTAATTTGATTGGATGGTTCACGTTGACCTCCACTTGCTTATACCCTTGGTCTTCAGGGTCTTGCCAGAAGTTGGAAAACGGTGGGTCGAACAGTCCCGCGCAGATGGCGTATGCATCGGGAACGTCGTTCCATTGCTTTTCGCACGCGTCGAAAAGTTTGTCAAAGTCGGCCCATCGCGTCACGTCAGATTGCACGTAGAGAATGTTCGACTTGTTGGCAGCAAAGGTATCGAAGTCGGGTGTTGTTTTGAGGTCTGCGACAAGGATGCGTGCGCCGAGATCGTGTGCTTGCTTTGTCACACAAAGGCCGATTCCTGTTCATGTTAGACATACACCTTTCCGACATCGATAGTATTCTAAGTACCAGATGCACCTCCTGTGATTAGGAGTATCTTGCCGTTCAGCGGCTGGTCGATGGATGTCATGTTGGCTCCACACTTAACGATCGTATTGTATTCCAGCAAGTGATAAGTCTTTTTCAAGGTTTGCCAGAACCTGAAGTGCTCTGGTAGTTAATGTCGCTACTCTGTTATGCGGCTGTCGGATAACAGCTTCCGCGGCCTCGACCGAACATCGCCGTTCCTTTAAATGAGGGGCTACGGGTAACAGAACGCCGCATGGCGGGCGCTACCGGTAGCCGTACGTGAAAAGGCCCTTTTGTTCATGTGTTGTCTGGAAGCTAAGGTCGTGCCTGCGATTGGTGATTGATCTCAGAGTCGAGTGGAGAGGTGGCGGGGTGGAGCACCATCCTTATCGTTCTACAGGGTCAGGGCGGGGCGTAATGTGCAAAAAGTAAACTGGCGACGTGGTCCGCTGGGACAGGTACAATAATGAGCATCGCATCGGTGGTCCGGGGTGATCAGCCATGAAAGAGCACATTGAAATCGTGCATGCGGTAGGTTCGGATGGATGCTGATCAGGGTTCCTGCAGGCAGTGATGCGTCATCGACCCATCCCGTGGATGCCAGCCACATTTGCGACAATTCTAGCAACAGCAACCATGTCGACCGAACAATTGATACGCATCACTGTTTTTGCGAATCGCAATGCTAAACTTTCTGAAGATGAGTTCAACGACCATTGGGCGAACAAACATGGTCCTCTCATCACATCGTGGCTGCAGCGTCACGGCATCGTCAAATACGTCCAAGTTAGCTTTCCCATCAGCTCTCCCTACTTGTGCAGCCCCTTATTGTCTTGATACTGCGCAATTCATCTACAAGTACTGATCATTCCAAGTACCACACTACATCAACACACAAAGCACGCCTAAGCATGCCTACTCTTTCGTACGACGGCATGGCGGACTTCTGGGTGCGGAAGTACGAAGATTTCGAGAAGGCTTACAAAGATCCTTTCTACTTGGAGGTAGTGAAGAAGGATGAAGAGTACTTGTTCGATATGGAGAGTTTGCGTGTGACTGCTGGCGTCGACATCTGTGTCATCGAAGCTGGAAAGGTGGTGCAAGAGCACGCCCATAAATTTTGAACTGCCTGCTTGAGTAGGCGCAAAATGAGAGGTCACATCCAAACGCGAATATGTGGAAGGTTGAGATGCATATTGGTTCCATCGCCTCCAATTCCGTGGTACTGCGATGGCCCACAAACGGCGAGCCAACCACACCTGCCGCATTTCATACAATTCGAACGCACAAAGCCGCTTTCCCAAGAGGAATATCGCAAATTATTCTGGGCACACTTTCCTACAAGGGCGAGGCAGGAATCTTATCCGCTGCTTCATCTACCACTCACTGCCTCCCGTACACGTAGAGCCTTCATTTCGCGTATTTGAACAGACATCAATAGATCTGGTCTCACGATTTCTGCCCATTCCGGCTCTTACGTTCATTTCTCTGTGCACTGTAAGTTAAATCTCTTCTAGTACGAAGACCTTTCCTGACAGTATAGGAAACCGCAAACATGCCCGTCGTCCTCATTCCCTTCTCAGTAGCCGGCAGTCGATTTGGCATGAACGTCGCGCATGATGCAGCGACATTCCGACTAGACACGGCGACATTTCCCGATATTCAGGGCTCAACCATCACTTCAACCCCGTCTTCCAGTACTTCGCACCTGAATCTTCAGACTTGGGCTGAAGTAGTGAAGCACGGCGTGCTACCCGGGTCGAAGAAGAGTAGGTCGCTGTGGGATGCAAGGAATCACGAGCTATGCTTACAAATTACAGTGCCCAGATACATCAAAGGCGAGCCGTGGATACTAGAGAGCGATGCAGTCGCAGACGTCTACGAAGCCCCTGCCATCAAGCCGAAGTTTCACCGATTCCTTGAGTTGCCTACTGAACTCCGCCTCGAGATCTGGAAACTTACCCTCGATGTCGATACGAACGTGATGGAAGTGCGCAAGGCAGTCAGGAGGGGCAATAACCCCGCTCGACCCGGGTTTCTTCCCCAGTTCTGCTATACATCGCGACGAACCTTCGACGAGACGGTCGCCACCGTTATCGGGAATTCGCAGATGATGATTTGCTCATACGCCGACAACCAGTTTGCACGCGCGTTCCTGGCCGCAGAGACGAGCCGCTTTGACCTCGTTCGTCACTTGGACTTCAGGTTCTTCAGCCGCTTCAAGGAAGAGTTCGGTGTGAACGCTGATCTAGAACTTGCTTTCGAATGCAAGGGTCTGCGTACCATCAAGCTTAACTTCCACTGCAGCGATCTGATCAGGCTGGAAATCGAGGATGGCTACGACTACTACGAAGACGATTTCACCCGTTACCCTGCCGAGGGTGAGGAGCTGTTCAACAAATACAAGCTTGCTCGGATATTAGACTTCGACGCGCTCAACGCAGTCATCATTGAGCACTCAGGGTGTTACTGTCGAATGGCCGTGGAAGCGGCCGAGAGCTTGGGGAGAATCATAGAACAGAAGTTCGCAGGCAAAGTCCCGAAGCAGATCGTAAAGCTTGCCTACACTCGTCAGCCGACCAGACTTCGTGAAAACAACACTTTTGGCTGGAGTGTATGAAGTACACAGATAGGAAATCGAGCGGGACCAGAAGTGCATGGAATGACTGGAGTGGACAAGAGAGTATTACGGAAGGTCTCGTGCGGTACGTAGAGCTCACGGACAGTGCGCCTGAATTAGGCCTTTGTAATCGATCAGCCTAGATCTTGATGGTCAAGTCCCTTATCTTCTGGCTATGCATTATTTGGAACTTCAAATATCGTTTGGTCTGGCTCACCGGGTGCTGTGGGCCATGCACAGGACATAGCCCCATCACCATATCTTCTTATAGCCACCGTCCACCTAGTATGCGTGTCTGTGACGACAACAAGGCGGCTGTGAAGTCGTCACACTCGCTAATCTTCCGCTTGAATACATATTTCGCTGATTCTCGTATTCGACAGAGTTTGACACCTCCTTGGGACACTGTTTCTCGAAACCGCCATATTTTAGGATGCTGAAACATGGTAGAAAAGTCGCTCTTTCGTTCGGCCGGAGAAACCGTTGCCGGAGACGAAGTAAGGCCTTGCGTCGGTGTCGTGTTCAGGATAGTGGCCCGCGATCTTATCGACAAGTCTTCCCATCAGAACGCGCATTCATTGCAGGCGGCGACTGTGTTGTGCCGTCTTGTGAGTTAGGTAATTCAGAGGTGCGCTGAAGAGCACAGGCTCAGAGTCCGGCCCGACGTTGCTGCTGGGTCAGTCTTCGCACCGTGCCACATCGCACTTTGGGGACGAAGGCTGCGAGTAGTGTTGAAATCATGTTCACACTGAGCTCTCAGCCATCACCGTGCCGCCTTTCCGCTCTCCGCTCCAGGAAGAATAGCATGCTTGGCGTGTAGCAATATTCCACCACAACGCCACCACCAGATGTGGCCGGCTAAATGTGTGATCCGCTATCGAGTGAGCTGCGCAGTCCCGGCTGACCGGGGCCCCGTCTTTGTCAGGGCAAGGCTTGGTATCATGTCTCTAAGCGCCATCAATCACGACATGAGTGTACAACGCGAGTAGAGGGCCGGGGTGGGGCGTTCTGCGATGGAAAGAGGGGCCCCACTAGCCTATTCGCTTGCGCATGAACAATCTACTGTCGACTCCAACAGCTCGGCGCGTGGAACTCTCTACACACATATGCCTCCCAGGAAATTGAATGTGTCGCATCAGTACGAGCACCGACCTCGCAATTGATTACTCCCATGGTTGCCGCCGGTGCATGCCGCCAAGGCTGCACGTGGCCTGCAATGTAGCTCCGATGTGCACCTGGACACCGACCCGCCTCGTCGCTTGCGCGTATGCACAGCGCGGCTTGCCCCTAACCATTTGCACACCCTATCCGAACGCGTACATCGAAGCCGTCTGAGCCTTATCGACGTCTGCCAATGCGAAAAACCATGAAACGACTTCGTCAGTACAATTGTTTTGTAAAGTCCAGTCACCGAGCTCCAGATCCGGCGCGCAGGCCCATTTATCCATCTTGGCTGGTCCTGGCATCGCATGGTAAGCTTGACCTACCGTGAGCGGACTCTTGGTTGGCTCGTCCAAGCCTTGAGTGCAGAACACCAAGAGGCATACCGGATGCTAAGCAAAATTATCCGCGGGACGAGTCGCCTGTTCAGATGGGGATCCAGAGCTATCGAGGCGTCTTACAATCAAGCCCGGGGGCGTCTCAAGCCTCAACGCTGGGCACAGCGGAACAGCAACAGAATCGGGGAACGCATGGCTTGATGGCGACAGTCACTCGGCAGATCGGCTTCGACATCTCATGATGAAGGGGTCTATCATCTGATGAGTTGAAGCAGACCGAGGCATAGGAACCAACAGGCCTCGCCAGCAGTCGCTTCTCCAAATGCAACATACTGTTGTCGTATCTGGCCATCACGAAGTTAATATCAAGGCGCTTTCGAGAGCCAATGACTGACAGCAACCCGTGTCTGGGTCTATTGTCAAATGTGGTCACACGTTCTAGCGCCACCAGGTTATAGACTTCTGGAAGGCAGCCGAATGCCCCATGGGGAGACAGCAATTTGCATCGGACGTTGGATATCTCCGTTGGCGGCCAATGCCTAGATATGACAAGACGGGACTTCTCTGTTCTTGTAAGTCTAGTCCCACGGCGCTACGGGCCTGGTGCCAACAGATCGCTCGGTGGAGATTTCTTGGTATCATCTTACTGGCCCTTCCCGCCGTTGCTGTCAGGCAGTCTTCCTGCAAAGTGCGGTACCCATGTCCGTCAACCCGCGGTGGAACAAGCATGGGAGTATCCCATCCGGGGTGTGGGGTCGCTTGCAGTGGAGGTGGATCGAATATAAGTACTCGACGCCGGACCAGGGTCATTCTCAACCCAAGGGACTTCGCCCATCAGTAGCACAGTCTACTTGTCCTGAACTTCGGTCAATCTTTACTTAACAGTTCCATCGTTCTTTATTCAAGATGGTCGGTATGCACGTCGGAGCCGCCAAGGGCAACAGTGCCGTCCGCGAGGATGTGCCTGAGTTCGAGAAGGTCATTTGGTACAAGGACCCAAACATGCGAAAGCTGTTCTGGCACTCGTCGGTCCTTTGCATTGCCTCCGCCACTACTGGTTATGACGGGTGAGTGGAGTTTCCAGTAATGCAGCGGGATTTGCTGACCATCTTCAGCATGATGATGAACTCTTCGCAGCAGATGAGCAGGTGGCAGGACTACTTTGATGAGCCTACCGGTAACCGCCTGGGTCTCATGAACAACATGTACAACATCGGTTCGATCGTCAGCTTCTTCCTCGTTCCCTTCCTGACCCAGTGGACCGGACGTAAGATTCCAATCGCCGTCGGCTGCTCCATCATGATTGCTGGTGCCCTTGTCTCGACCTTCTCTACGAACTGGCAGATCTACATGGGTGGCCGTTTCATCCTTGGTTTCGGTAACTCTTTCGCCCAGATGTGCTCGCCTATTCTTCTTACCGAGATCTGCCATCCTCAGCACCGTGGTATCTTCACTGCCGTATACAACTGTCTCTGGAACTTGGGTGCTCTTTTCGTCGCATGGATCGCATGGGGTACATCTCAGGCGGACAACCACTGGTCTTGGAGGTCCATCACTCTGCTTCAGGCTCTGCCTTCGTTCCTCCAACTCTGCTTCCTTTGGTGGGTTCCTGAGAGTAAGTCAAACACCACACTGCATAACGAATATACGCTGACATTGCTTTCCAGGCCCACGTTGGTTGATCTCCAAGGAGCGCTACGAAGAGGCCCTGGACACTCTCGCCTACTACCATGCCGGAGGTGACCGTAACAACGCCACAGTTCAGTTCGAATACGTCGAGATGAGGGAGGTCATTCGTCTGGAAGCCGATGCCAACAAGAACTCCAGCTACGTCGACTTTGTCAAGACCAAGGGTAACCGATGGAGGTTGGCCATTCTCATCTCTCTCGGTATCATCTCCCAGTACTCTGGCAACGCGCTCTTCTCCAACTACATCAACTTGGTCTACGAGGGTGCTGGTATTACCAGCGAGAACCAGAAGATGGGTGTAAGTATCGCTGAATTGTTGCATGAAAACACTCACTAACACTTTGATCAGCTTACTGGTGGTGAACGTATCTTGGCTCTCTGTGTGTCCGTCTACGCAGCTACCTTGATCGACAAGGTTGGTCGTCGCCCGCTCTTCCTTGGCGCAACCACTGGTATGGTCGTCTCATTCGTCTGCTGGACCATCACCTGCGCCATCTACGAGAACTCCGGCGACACCAACTCCGCAGCCGGTTACGCTCAGATTCCATTTGTCTGGATCTTCGGTGTTTTCTACGCTTTCGCCTGGTCTGGTCTACTCGTTGCCTACGCGCTCGAGATTCTGCCTTACGCTCTCCGCGCTAAGGGTCTCATGATCATGAACATCACTGTGCAGGCTATCCTCGCCGTTGGTGGTCAGACGAACCCCGTCGCATGGGACAACCTTCCCAAGCACTGGAACTTGGCTCTCTTCTACACTCTCTGGATCACCGTCGAGCTTGTCTTTGTCTACTTCGTCTACCCCGAGACCAAGGTACGTACATGTCTAGTCTACTTGGATAACATTGCTAATTCGTACAATAGGGACCTACACTTGAGGAGATTGCCCGTATCTTCGACGGCCCTGCCGCTGTGGCTCCTGTGGACATGGACGCCATCGCCAGACAAGCTGCTAAGGAGCGCCTCAACAACTTCGGTGATGAGAAGGAGCCCCATGTCGAGCAGAGCCACGTTGTTTAGGGTACTGGACTTCACTCATTAGTAGTTCATGTCGCATGAATAGGAGAGGTCGGGCTTCGTAGTTTTGGCATTCGCTATCCCTAGAGCAGTCTTTGCTTCAATATACCCACTGCTTTGGTACACACTGTCTGATTCATTCTTGCTGTCCTAAAACATTCGCGCAGGACCTTCGGCGCTGACCCCGGGATCTCCCACGAAAGGCACGTGTTAGCGCGGTGGCCAAGACGCCAAGCCATGCTAATTTGATGTTCACCCCGCAATCATTTGAGCGATTTCCGCAGTCCGTCTCATCTCTTCTCAACCCGTCTTGGCATCCAACATTGAAGAGCCCTTCCGTGTCTGGCGCGTGAGCAAATTATCGCTCAGCTTCATCAACCACCCTGATCCTTCTTTATCCAAATAGCAACCCGAATCACACCACGTTCATCTCGGTCGGTCGGTCATATTACCATCTTACTGACTTCAAACGTTCCATCACTGGACTTGCTCGGGAGCATCTCCGGACACGACGTGCATAAGACGGCAGTTGTGAGTTTACGAATCGGAGAACCAGCGCGCTGACGCCGTATGCATCTTCGTCGCGCAGTGTCGCTCTACATCGCAAGGGATGTGTGTCTGCAGAAATCGTGGAGCTTGTTACTCACCTCACGGCACGCACAATCTAGCCCATGCCTATTGCGCCTGATGAGTGTATCAGTTTCCTTGGATGAAGTGATTGTTTACACCAACTCAGTATCCAGATTTGACCATCATATACGCCTGGTCGTTGAGCCTTTCGGGTTCAGCATGACTGAC